AGGGGTCACTAAGTGTCTGTTAATGATGATGGAATAATTTGAAAACAGTGCTATGGTTGCACCACATGATGAATGTAATCAATGTCACCAACTTGTACATGGTAAAAACTGATGAGTTCGCAAATATTTTGTTACATATATACTTTTACCATAATAATTTCTCTTAATTTTTTAAAAGATTGAGGTAAAGGAAAGTCTGGTAAAATGTCTGTTAAAGGTAAGTTGCCTAGATAAGGAAATAGTAAGAGATAAAACCAAGAAGTAGGAGATAAAACCAAAAAGATAAACTGGAAGGAGCGAGGAGAGGGAAGTGGGGACAGGAAGGGTTAATGTGCAAGAGGGAGGAATTTGTCGGTGGGTAATAATAAAAGGAGGAGCCCTGGTGGCACAGCGGTTAAGCGCTCAGCTGCTAACCAAAAGATCAGTAGCTGGAACCCACCATCTGCTCTGCAGGAGAAAGATGTGGCATTCTGCTTCCGTAAAGACTTACAGCCTTGGAAACCCTATGGGAGCAGTTCTACTCTGTCCTACAGGGTCACTGTGAGTCAGAATCAACTCATCAGCAATGGACGAAGCTTTTGAGAAGCTGATGTGGAGTGGGTACGGTTTCCTTTCCAACAAGTTGCTGCCATTTGGTTATCTATGTGAAGAGTCTATCTCGGACTCATCAAATGGAGATTTAACGATCATCAGCATTGCAGAACAGGAGATATAAAAATCATAAGAAATAAATTTTTAAAAAACAAAATGCATTGAATTGGGTTCTAAACTTCCAAACTTAACAGTCTAACAGAGGAGCTGTCAAGAATCTCATGGTGGCTTTCTAAAAACCAAGCACAAGGTCACTTTCAAGCCCAGACTGGCTCCTTTGGCTACAAAAAGGCTAAACCAAAATTTTTGTTAGATGCTTTTCACTCACTTGACCAGACTTGCTTTCATTAAGGAGGAACATTTCCTCCTCAGTATTCCACTATCCTCTCTATGCTTTGAGGTTCTTCTTTCCCCAAAGCTACTGAATAGGATTATCCGAGGAAAAGACCATCATTCACATGTATCTGAAGCAAGGAAGCTAACTTTATTGCTTGCAAATAATAGTCTCATCATAGGGTTTTGAGAAGCATGGAGTACAGGAACTGGTGGGACTTTGAGAAGCAGGAGTGTTTAGGGACTGGCTGATCTTCATAAGCATGGTTACCAGAGACTGTTGCTGACTGGCTGACTCTCAGAAAGGGAGTATTCAAATGAGGCTGTCATTGATTGGAAAGTTTCAACAGGTTCTGTAGTTACTTCTCCAGGCTGAAGACTAGAGCCAAGGAACTGTCGGTCTTTTTTTCTTTCTTGAATGGGAGAATAGCAACTTTTTATTCTCAAATGTGAGCACCCCCATTCCCTCATTACTATTATTGTGATCCTCCCAAAAAAGTATACAGATCCCTTAAAAAGAAAGTCCCCCTGCTTTTTTTTTTTTTTTTAGCAGTTTGCTAATGACTTTAGAGAAACCAGCTCATAACAAAAAATAAAACATAGGTAAATTACAAAAGGCCCATAACCTTAAAACAGTTCTCTCAAGATCCCTACTCTACTGTTGCCAATCACTTTATAGGAAGAGAAGCAGGGAGGCTTTTACCATAATTTACCCATTCTAAGATACAGTATTTCCATACAAAATGCCCAGTAGACTAATCCGACTCAGAGTGACCCTACAGGACAGAGTAGAACTGCCCCACAGGGTTTCCAAGGCTCTAATCTTTACAGAAGCAGACTGCCACCTTTCTCCTACAGAGTGGCTGGTGGGTTTGAACCACCTTTCGGTTAGCAGCCGAGCACTTAACTACTGCACCACCAATGCTCTTTACTGGGAAATAAGTAATCCTCCAATATTTTCATACTTATACATCTTCTACAGATACTGTTCTCCATATATTCTTGTTATTGTTAGGTGCTGTCGAGTTGGTTCTGACTCATAGTGACTCTATGTACAACAGAACAAAATACTGGCGGTCCTGCACCATCCTCACAACCGTTATGCTTGAGCCCAGTGCTGCAGCCACTGTGTCAATCCATCTCGTTGAGGGTCTTCCTCTTTTTCGCTGACCTTCTACTTTACCAAGCATGATGTCCTTCTCCCTCTTGACAACATGTCCAAAGTATGTGAGACATAGTCTCACCATTCTTGCTTCTAAGGAGCTTTCTGGTTGTACTTCTCTCAAGACAGATTTGTTCGTTCTTTTGGTAGTCCACAGTATATTCAATATTCTTCGCCAACACCACAATTCAAAGGCGTCAATTCTTCTTTGGTCTTCCTTATTCATCATCCAGCTTTCACATGCATGTGAGGCAACTGAAAACACCACGGCTTGGGTCAGGTGCACTTTAGTCCTTAAGGTGACATCTTTGCTTTTCAACACTTTATAAAGAAGTCTTTTGCAGCAGATCTGCCCAATGCAATGCGTCTTTTGATATATTCTTAGTGCCCAATAAAATCTGTATTTTCCCCATTAGGAAAAGCAAGCTAGTGCAGCCAACTCTGCTTTCAAATCACACACTAACCCATCAACCTCAGTCCACGGTAAATTACCTTTAATCTTAAGGTCTGTGGTAGACACAGGACTACCATAAAATTACACTGATGTCCATGAGAAAATATTCTTCTTCAGAGGAGTACTTAAAAAGTTGCTTTTGTTGTTTTTGAGTATCATGACCATTTAAAAATATTCTATTATGGAAAAAATAAACTCCAAAAAATAAAGTCATTCAGGTAGTAAAAATATTTTTTAAGCCCCAGAACTTTATTTTTGAGTCCTGTGAAACCTAAATTCTAAAAGGATTTCACTTGAGAGGCAGCACAGCAAAATGATTACCACCAAGGATTCTGGAGTTATACTGTGGGGGTTCAAATCAGGTCCACCATGTGTTAGCTGTGTAATCTTAGGCAAGTTTCTTAGTCTGGGCTTCAATGTCTTAATCTGTAACACAAGGAGAGTAACTCGTTGCCATCGACAGCGACTACATAGGACAGAGGAGAACTTCTCCATAGGGTTTCCAAGGAGCAGCTGGTGGATTCAAACTGCTGACCTTTTGGTTAGCAGCCTGAGCTCTTAACCACTGTGCCACCAGGGCTCCGTAGGACCTACTTTATAAGGCAGTTTTGAGGATGAATGAGTTAATACATGTTAAGCATTCAGAACATAGGCACTCTGAGTTTGCTATTATCTAACTGCAAAAATCTAAATGAAATGTCCCAACTATTGGAATACAGGAGTTTCTTTTCTTTAAGTAACTTAAAGAACACATAATATTTGTGCTATACATGTGTCATGGACTGAATTGTGTCCCCCAAAAATATGTGTCAACTTGGTTAGCCCATGATTCCCAGTATTGAGGGGCTGTCCTCCATTTTGTGATTGTAATTTTATGTTAAAGAGAATTAGGGTAGGATTGTAACACCCTTACCCAGGTCACATCCCTGACACAATGTAAAGGGAGTTTCCCTGGGGTGTGGCCTACACCACTTTTTATCCCTCAAGAGATAAAAAGGAAAGGGAATTGAGCAGAGATGGGGGACCTCATACCACCAAGAAAGCAGTGCCGGGAGCAGAGGCCATCCTTTGGACCTGAGGTTCCCACACTGAGATGCTCCCAGACCAAGGCAAGACTGATGACAAGGACCCTCCTCCAGAGCTGACAGAGAAAGCCTTCCCCAGGAGCTGGTGCCCTGAATTCGGACTTCTAGCCTACTGGACTGTGAGAGAATAAACTTCTCTTTGTTAAAGCCATCCACCTGTGGTATTTCTGTTACAGCAGCACTAGATAACTAGGACAACATGAACGCAGGAATCAGGTTTGGGTTCAAATCACAGGTATATCCCTCCCTAGTCATGTAACCTTCAGCGGGTCAATATTTCAGTTTCCTCACACAACACCCTGCCCGGACTAACAGGTCTGGGATAGCCAGAGGATAGAGAGCAGGGCAGGATGCTAGGGATTTAGTCCTCAAAGTGACTGCAATCGTAAGTTCACCAGTAGCATACTGCAAACGAGTTCAAATTAAAAACGTGTCTCAAACATCCCCAGGATCTCCTCAGCTAAAAATCTTGCCATAATATTTAACTCCACCTCACCCCCCATAACCAATCAGTTCCTATCAGACATGTCCTAAATCCAGACCTCAAACTCTTACCATTTCTCAGCTAGACAAATCCAATGACAACCTCGTTATCATTCTTGTCCATCCTCCAAATTAGCACAGTAGCCTTTTGAAATACAAGTATCTTTGCCACCTCCATGTTAAAGACCATGGGCTCAATGCTGTCTTCAGAATACTGTCAACTATAGCCAAAATGTAAAACTGCATTCATAATATGGCCAACTCTCCAGTAACATCTCTAAGTAGGTTACACACACACTGCTTGACCTCCAACCAAAGACAGAACATGCACTTTTCACAAATCCCCTATTTATAAGCCTTCCTCTCCCACAAATGCTCCCCACACCTTCAACTCCTACCCAGGCTCCAATCCCCAATTACTTGATAAAACCTGTGTGTACCCTTTAACAATCTTAATTGTTCAATCTTCACTGATAGCCACAGCACTTTATTAATATTTGCTATTAAAAAAAAACCAAACCCGTTGACGTCAAGTCGATTCCGACTCAGCGACCCTACAGGACAGAGTAGAACTGCCCCACAGGGTTTCCAAGTAGCGGCTGGTGGACTGGAACTGCTGACCTTTTGGTTAGCAGCCGTAGCTCTTAACCACTGTGCCACCAAGGCTTCAAATATTTGCTATAAACCAAAACCCGCTGCTATCGAGTGGATTCCGACTCACAGCGACCCTACAGGACAGAGTGGAAGTGCCCCATAGGGTTTCCAAGGATCAGCTGGTGGATTGGAACTGCTGACCTTTTGGTTAGCAGCCGAGCTCTTAACCACTGTGCCACCAGGGCTCCAAATATTTGCTGTAACACTTGCTAATGTGCACTGAAATTTATCTGCTTACCAGTCAGCTTCCGTCCCCAGGCGCCCCCACCCTCAAAAGAGACTGTCCATTCCTCAAGGTTTCAAGGGCAGTGATTATCCATTCTATTCAATTACGAGTTCTAACAGCGTTCAGGCAAGCCTCCTGCTCAAATATAAAAGAAATACTTAAAACATTTAACGATTTATCATTCTGAAGCTGTGCAATATTTGAACTGACAATTACTGTTTTTGACGTTCCAAAGCCAACTGTTTGTACAAACTTTGTAAACAGAATCTATCCCAAGTCGACCAGCAATAGCAGATGAAAAGTAAAATGGTAACGTCAACACCTGCATCTCAATCACCCATCCACGTCAGAAGCTCGATGGCGAGGACGGAATGTGCTATCGGCTGTTCCTGAAGCAGAACGCTCCTTCTGGGGGCAGACTGCCAAGGGACCCGACTCTGGGCCACCTCTGCCGCCCCCGGCCCCCGAGCGGTCCCCCGAACGGCTACCCCCAAGCGGCTCCGGGACACCAGCCGCCCAGCCGCAGGTGCGACCCCGGAGCCCCGGACGCGTCGCCGCCCCGCAGCGCGCACGCCAGGGGCCAAGGGCACGTGACGCGGCGGGGGGACCTGGCGCGAGCCGAAGAGAACGCCCGGGACCCGGGGCGGGGAACGGGCCGGGCGTGGCCGCGCGCGGGAAGACGCCTCGGAAACTTTCCGCGTGAGCGCCGGACCACAGACGCTGCGACCGCCTTACCTCGCCCGCGCGAGCCGCCTTGTACTGCCGCGCCACCGGTGCCGCCCGTGCCGCCAGATCCGCGACCCCCACCTCAGCGCGAGCCCCTCCCCGGCGGAGACCCCATCCCTCCTCCCAGCAACCAGAAAGAGAAAATGGCGCTCGATCTGCCTCCGGAAGTGACGTGAGCCCTCATTTGCATACCGGTGCAGCCAGCCAATGGGAGTAGAGTTTGCATTGGGACCCCTGGGCACTTGCATACTGAAGCCTTGGGACCCTGGTCAAAACTGGCCTGGAGGGCCTTAAGTGGGGGTGGGAGGGGCCCTACTGGGCCCCGCCCCGGGACCACCCCCCCGGCGCAAGGGCACTTTCCTGCAGCATCAGTTCCAACTCTCGTGAGAGTTTGAGTTGGTGATGACATTATTACAGGGGTGGGGAGATGGTGTCATCAATCATGTGACCCATCACGTGGGCTCGCCAGAGCTTTGACTCATTTGCATGGAATGGGGTGGAGCCAGTGGCAGCAGCAGGCATGGTAGCCCCGCCTACTTTTCAGAGCCAATAGGAGGAAGGCTGTGGAGCGAGCCTTCCTGCCATTGGAAGGCAGACCTTCTGATGTCAGAACTTTGACAACGTGCCCAGGACTGACATTTGGGTGAGCTGGCCAGGTGGGTATCCTGACCTCATAATTCTCTTCTTAGAAAATTAATGTCACACCTTTTCTTGAGAATTCTGTTTTTTAAGTTAGATGTTTTGTAGGAAGAGGGTTAACTGCATACATTCCTACAAACTCTTAAGCGACCCAAAAGTTCGGTTCTGCCAGATTTTTTTAAATGCCAAGCAATAATATTATATTTCTCAGAACGAGTGAAAACATGGAGTAGGAGCTTTCAAAATGGTTTGGCCCTTCAGCCCTCCCGCGCTTGGACGTGAAAATATGCAGGCAGAGGCGAGGTGTGAAGACAGCACCCGCCCGCAGGGGGCTTACAGTTCATGGCAGGTGACGGCGTGCACAGCACCTGTCTTCAAAATGCTCTACGGTCAGCCTTTCATCAGATCCTCATTCTATTCACGTCCGTGATGACTATCCCAGGCCGTTCCCTCTTTGTTGACGCTTCTGGACAGTGCATACCCTCCATTTTCCTTTATAGCAGAAGACCGTTGCCTTCATCCAGAAAACCAAGATCTCCCCATATGCATGAGGTCCTCTCCATGCCTCATCCTACTTATCACATTTCTCAAAAGAACAGTCCCTGTGTCCTCTCTTCAGCTCCCTTCCACTCCTCACCACACCTCCCACTCTGCAGAAACTCAACGGTCTCCAGTGACCCAAGAACAGATTTTAGTCACATCTTTCATTTGTAACCAGTGACCACTCCCCCTTTCCTGAAGCTCTCCACTCCCAGACCCCCCTAGACATGTTAATATCCTTCAACCTCCGTACTTGTTTCATCTCCTACATCATCAGCTTCTCTTCCTCAGCCCACTCCCTAAATGCTGATGCTCTCCAGGATCCTGTCCACTTTCACTCATTTACTCAACAAATGTCTATTACCCACCTCCTGTTGACCAGGCACTGTACTAGCTACAGGAAGTCCAATTTTTTTTTATTACTCTGTATTTTCTCCTTTGTTAATATCAACAGCATATTCTAATCCCATTATTTCAATCGCTGATGGATTCAAATCAATCTCTCCGCCTCTTTCCTAAGTTTTGGTCTTATTTTTCTGGTTGCCAATTGGACAGCTCCACTTGAGTGTTCCACAGACACCTTATACTCAAAACATTTCAAAACTGAGCTCATCAACTTCCCCCCCTCAATAGTCTCTCCTGCAGTGAGCAATACACTTTTCTTATCCTCCATTTTTCCCATCTCCAATTCTCCAATTTTACAACCGAAATATTTCTCAAATCTGTTCCTTCATCTTCAGCCCTACTACCAGTGTCCACGTTCAGGTCCTCTTCGTTGCTTGCCCGTAATATCAATGTTGCTCCCCTCTGGTACATTCTCCAATCAGCCATTTTAGTGTTCTATCTAAAAGCAAATCTGACCATGTCATCCTCTTCTTAAGACCCTTCATCCATCTCAAACCCTCTAGTATCAAGCCCGGTCTGTCAGGATGGCACACAAGGCTCTCCAAGATTGCAAAGTCCCCAGCCCTATCTCCTGCTTCCTGCAAACACCACACAGAGTATGTTTGTGGAATTTTTTCCCTCCCCACTACCTGACCTAGTTTCTGCTCCATCACCATTTAAGGCTGAGCTCTGCTGGCCTCTCTCCCAGGAAGGTCTCCCTGACCAACACACACACAAACATGTCAAGATGTGGTATGTACTTCTCCTGGGTATTCCCAGAACATTCTATGTGTGCTTCTATCACAGCACTCACCATATTGTTTTATCTTTATCTGCTAATATGTTAGGATCCCTGGTGGCACAGTGGTTAAGAGTTCAGCTGCTAACCAAAAGGTCAGCAGTTTGAATTCACAATCCACCAGCTGCTCCTTGGAAACCCTATGGGGCAGTTCTACTCTGTTCTGTAGGGTAGTTTGTTTTGGTTTGCTAATATGTTTGTCTCTCTCAGTGAATGCCTTATCAACAGAGACCTTTTCTGATGTGTTGTGTCCCTGATGCCTAGAGTTTTTAAAAATAAATTATTATTTTGAATAACTACAAATAATAAAATATAAATGTAATAAAATTTTAATAAATGTTGGATGACTGAGTTTTTATCCAATATCTCATTATGAAAAATTTTGAACATACAGAAAAGCTGAAAAATTGTACAGTGAACACCATCATATAGATCTTGCAATTAACATTTTGTTTTATTTGGTTTATCACATATCATTCCAATTACTCATCTCTGAATACATCCTTTTTTGTGTGTGTGTGACGCGTTCAAAGAAAATTGAAGACATCAGTACACTTTATTCCTAACCACACTTCAGCATGGATATCTAATGAATGGAGTTTAAAACTACAATCAACAGTTTTGATATTAAAAGAACAGTCCCTCCCACCAAAAAAGGAATGAGCAAGATGACCTAGTGAGGATCATCAAGACTATTTGCAAAGACTCAGAAAGTGTATGGCAGGAATGTCATCAAATCATTCAGAAACAGAAGTTAGACCTAGGGGTCATCTAATATGCATGTCACAAGTTTATTCTGCCTGTTCCCAAGTATAGAGCAATAGGGTGCCACTGATCAGCGGTAGTAAGGGTGCAGATGCTTTGCTTTTCATTGTTCAGTTGATTTTTAAAGTCGAGATGTCTTATGCTGAACCTTCCCTACTGGCTCATCTAGTTCCCAGTAACCAGGGGCACCATCTATCAGATGATTGTCCAGAAGAAAGAGTACAATCCGGGTGACCACAAAACTGCAGAAGCCCTATACAGGCCCCAGAGATGATGCTGCCAGCCCGCAAAGAAAACGGGGGAGGCCCTCTGGGCACTTGTTGAGCTAAAAGTGCCTTTATATGTTTAAAAATAGTTTTTTTAAAAAAATAGACCCAGCCCAGCATCAGAGCTCAGACCGGGGCAGGCAGGGTGGGCTGGATTTCAGCACCCATTTCCCACCTCAGCTGGTTCCCAGTAGAGTGAGCACCCTATACTACTCCACAGCCCAGACTGGCCTGCACACAGAGAAATTGCACACATGCTCATCTATAATAAAGTAAGTTGTTAAAGTTAAATTTAATCTAAAACATGAAATTTCTATAGAAAAGGGAGGCCATTATTCTTTGAGAACAAGTTGTAATGCCTTTCTTTCCTTTGTTCTACATATATTTTGTGTCCACTAGGTGCCAGGGATATAGAGATGAGCAGAAAGCAAAAGCAGGCTCAATCCCTGCTTTCGCAGGGCTTAGAGTGTAGTGAGGGAGAAAGTCATTGGTGAAGTAATTATACCAATAAAAGTATAATTACAAGCTGAGGTAAATGCTCCTGAGCAAGGTAAGTCCTATATACACCTATGACACAGGCACCTGATCTAGGCTAGCAGTCTGGGAGAAGTGACCCCTAACCTGGGATTAGAAGGATAAGCAGGCATCATGGACCAATGCAGTGAGCAGTGGAGTGGGGAGATCATTCCAGCTGGAGGGAATAGCACCTACAAAGCCCTATGCCTGGAAAGAGCACCCGCATAGTCAGATGCTAAAAGAAACCCAGATGACAGACATGCAGATAAGGAGAAGAAAAGTATTGGGGGGTGAGGGGTCTGGGGGCCAGACCAGGAAACCATTTTGGTCTTTTTAAGATCAATGAGAAGCCACTGGGATCTTGTCAGGGGGTTGATAGGATCAGACTTGCATTTGAAAAGTACAGTCCCCGCTCTGGTATGAAGGAAGGAATGGTGACTGAGGAAGGAAAAACAAAAACAAAAAAACCCTTGCCTACTAATAGCAACCCTATAGGACAGAGTAGAACCGCTGGTGGATTCGAACTGCTGACCTTTTGGTTAGCAGCCAAAGGAATAAGAGCTAGGAGAAGGCTCGAGTAGCCCAGGTGGAAGATGATAGTAGTTTGGAACTGAGATTAGGATAGTAGCAGTGGAGATGAAGAAAAGTGGATCACTTAAAGAGACATTTAAGAGGTGAAATGCACAAGACTTGATGATAATTTGGACATGACCGAGTGAGATGGCAATGACAATAGTATGAATGATGGAGGGGGGAAACAGTGGAAAAAGAACGACTTTCATGCCTGCAAATCACAAGTTTGGTCTTGACCATGTTGAGTATGGCTGTTGAGACTTCTTGTTATTAATATTGAACAGATCATTAGAAATACAGGTCTCAATCAAAGAAGACAGCCTGGGATAGAAATATAAATTTCAAAGTCAC